TATTCATCTGAATTTGTGGGTGGAAATCATGAACACTATTTTGGAAAACTTTTTTAGTTACCAGATCAAGAACAGATGTACTTGCTTCAGGACATGAAGACTGTTCTCATTGAAGATGGATTGGATGAAAACCCAGGAGACGTTGAAATACAGATTACCTAAGAGGAGCTCTTTGAACGCTTGTTTGACAATCTGAGCATTTCCTGTACATTATTATCAACTCCTTTTATAGCAAAGGTGATGTTTATTGATGTAACATTTTACTCCTGTTGTGATCTGATCACACTTATTCGTGACTGTGACTGGTCTCCAAGTTCCCTCAAACTCTGAGATCCTGGAAGTGCAAGAATAGGGAGGAAGAAGAACAGGTGGTGGTTCTGAGATGTGGAGGGGAGGGAACAGAAGCAGGAATGGGGGTACGTGCCAAAGCACCTGGGCCACCATCATCTGGAGCTTACCATCCTCCTGTCCACACAGTTACTATGATTTGGGATGCACTGTGTAGAAAACTGGAGCCAAAGAGAAACAGAAGAGGAACAGAGGTGACAACTAGAGGGTGAGGAGAGAATATACCAGAGTGCTTGGTGTGATGTGTGTGGAACAATATGTTTCATTTTCTGAGTGTTGGCTCTTCACATAGAGGCTGTGACAATTTCTACCAAGTCCATGTCTGCCAGCTGGGAAACAGTAGAACTAGTTCAATGTGTAAATCCAAATGCTCTTAGAAAATGCTTTTAATTCAGTAGGGAAGAGAAATGGTGGTAGTCATGACAAACTCAGAAAGAGTGAGGAAATACAAAAACTTTACAGTTTGCTTCAGTAGGTAGGGATAATCAAAAGATTGATTATGAACATATTAAACATTAAAGAGTGAAGGTCACCAAGTGGTGGTTAATCAGTAAGCCATGTCCTATTCTTGTGACTCCATGGAGTGTAGCCTGCAAAGCTCTCTGGTCATGGGATTCTCCAGGCAAGAATACTGGAGCGGGTTGCATTTCCTTCTCCAGGAATCTTCCCACCCCAGGGATTGAACCCTGGTCTCCTGCATTGCAGGTAGATTCTTTACCATCTGAGCTACAAGGGAAGCTCAGCAATTGAGCCAACCAATATGAGATAAAGTTTAGGGTGTTTCCAGGATTTTCCATTCCATTCAGCTTTATCAGAAATATAATTTGCAAAATTTTTTTCCCTTTCTGTGGATTGACTTTTCACACCCTTTACATTAATAGTTTCCTTTGATGCAAAAACATTTCTAATTTTGATGAAAACTGATTTATCTATTTTTCTTCTGTTGCCTGTGCTTTGGTGACATCAGTTCAGTGAAATTCAGTCATTCTGTCTTGTCCAACTCTTTGCAACCCCACAGACTGCAGCACACCAGGCTTCGCTGTCCATCACCAACTCCCAGAGCCTGCTCTAACTCATGTCCACTGAGTCCATGATGCCATCCAACTATCTCACCCTCTGTCATCCCCTTCTCCTCCTGCCCTCAATCCTTCTCAGAATAAGGTCCTTTCCAATGAGTCAGATCTTCTCATCAGGAGGCCAAAGTATCGGAGCTTCAGCTTTAGCATCAGTCCTTCCAATGAATAGTCAGGACTGATTTCCTTTAGGATGGACTGGTTTGATCTCCTTGCAGTTCAAGGGACTCTCAAGAGTCTTCTCCACACAGTAGTTCAAAAGCATCAATTCTTCGGAGCTCAGCTTTCTTTATAGTCCAACTCTCACATCCACACATGACTACTGGAAAAAACATAGCTTTGACTAGATGAAACTTTGTCAGCAAGTAATGTCTCTGCTTTTTAATATGCTGTCTAGTTTGGTCCTAGCTTTTTTTCCAAGGAGCAAGCGTCTTTTAATTCATGATTGCAGCCATCATCTGCAGGGTTTTGGAGCCCAAGAATATAAAGTCTGTCACTATTTCCATTGCTTTCCCATCTATTTGCCATGAAGTGATGGGACTGGATGCCATCACTTATTGGTGCCATCACTTATGGATGCCATCATATGTTGATGACATATCCAAATCTAATGCCATTAAGTTTTCCCTCTAGTTTCTCTTCTAAGAATTCCATATCTGTATCTTGTATGTGTAAGTCTTTGATGCATATTGAGTTTTATGTGTATGGTGTGTGAGTGTGTTCACAACTGAGCACTTGAAACAAGCACAAAATATCCACTCTCTGTAGATTTATGCCATGTCCTGACTGGCCTTCTCTAGTTAACTTGGCATGCTTTAGTCCTGGGATTAGCCCAATAGTTAAGCTATGGGCACTGAGTTCATTTCTGAGTCAACGTCTTGCCTGGAGTGGGTGTGCCTCCTTGATCCTCCTGAATATATGGCTGTTTTTAAATGCCCTCTGTCCCATAAATCCACATCCTGTTTCTACTCAAGGTTTTATATGCTCTAGTCTATGTCTCCACCCTTAATTCCTTGTCCCTGGCCCCATATATATATAGTCTCCCTGCAACAGTAATAAGCCACTCCAGCTCCCTTTAGTTTAAGCTTACGTTTATGAAAAACAGACACCAGTCTCAGGCAACACCCAAATAGGTCAGAACATTGCATTAAGTTTTTTGAGATCAATCTGGTTTGCTGGAGGCAACTGGGACCTGAACTGCCACCCTTTACAGATCAAGACTGCAGTGTACAAGTGAGGGAAGTGGTAAGTGGGAGTAAAAACACGATGAAATGACCTTCTGCTCTCTTCTGGAATTTTCCTGATAGTGTGTTTAATGTATTCCTGTAGAATTTTGTTTGTTTCCAGAGCTCCTGTGAGGTTTTTTATCTGGTTTCTGATTGTTTTCTCACATTTCTAAAGGAGAATTCAATACTTCTAGCTCACCTTTTTGCTGACATCAGTCCACATGTTAAATTTTATTTGGCTTCACAACATCCCATTGTATCAATACATCTTGATTTCTCTGACTCTTCCCATATTTGTAAGAATTTAACTTGTGTACAGATTCTCCTTTTATGAGTAACCATTGAGCAAGATAGTAAAGTAAATAAAACCGTTATTATTTCAATTATGATATCTTTCCAAAAAGTTATATAACTAAGTCCAAAGATAAGCCTCTGTAAGGGTCTGTTTGCACACTGCACATGGTATCCAGAAATTATTAATAATTAATCTGCAAAAAACACTTTGTTAGAATGTGTGGTTTTGGTATTCTTTTCAGGATATTACCACTGTCAGGTCTGGATAGCAATGTAATTATGGTGGTGAGAAAAGTAAAAATGCAAATTTATTTTCATTAGAAGTTTTCTTTATTAAGGAATAATATTTTGAAAAATGCTTATTAATCACTCCATTAAATTGTGTGATTCTCTATATGTGTGTATGTGTATCAGTGGCTTCCCTGATAGCTCAGTGGGTAAGAAATCTGCCTGCAATGTGGGAGACCTGGGTTTGATCCCTGAGTTAGGAAGATCCCCTGGAGAAGGGAAAGGCTACCCACTCTAGTGTTCTGGCCTGGAGAATTCCATGGCCATAGTCCATGGGGTCACAAAGAGTCAGACACCACTGAGTACATTTCACTTCACTGTATGTGTGTATGTGTATATTGTAAGTTGTTAATTATTTCAACTGATGTTGGATCAAAATCAAGCTTCATATTAGAAAAATGAAAAAAAAATTGTGTGGAAATTTCTAGTCTAACATATGGGCTTCCCTGGTGCCTCAGATGATAAAGAATCTGCCTGCAATGTGGGAGACCTGGGTTCAATCCCTGGGTTGGAAAGATCCCCTGGAGAGAGGACATGGCAATCCACTCCAGTTTTCTTGCCTAGAGAATCCCCTGGACTAGGAGCCTGGTGGAATACAGTCCATGGGGTCGAAAGAGTCATACATGACTGAGCGACTAAGCACACCACAAGCTTCATATTAGACAATGAAAAAAAAATATGTGGAGGTTTCTAGTCTAACATATGGTCAATAATTGTTCAGTCAATCTCATCATTATATGATTCAGTTCAGTTCAGTTCAGTTGCTCAGTCGTGTCCAACTTTTTGCGACCCCATGGACTGCAGCATGCCAAGCCTCCCTGTCTATCGCCAACTCCCGGAGTTTACTCAAACTCATGTCCATTGAGTTGGTGAGGCCATCCAACTATCTCATTCTCTGTCATCCCCTTCTCATCCTGCCTTGAATCTTTCCTAGCATTAGGGTCTTTTCAAATGAGTCAGTTCTTCCCATCATGTGGCCAAAGTTTTGGAGCTTCAGCTTTAGATCAGTTTTTCCAATGAATATTCAGAACTGATTTCCTTTAGGATGGACTGGTCTGATCTTGCAGTCCAAGGGACCCTCAAAAGTCTTCTCCAATACCACAATTCAAAAGCATCAATTCTTTGGCACCCAACTTTCCTTATAGTCCAACTCTCACATCCATACATGACTACTGGAAAAACCATAGCTTTGACTAGACGGAACTTTGTTGGCAAAGTAATGTCTCTGCTTTTTAATATGCTGTCTAGGTTGGTCATAACTTTCCTTCCAAGGAGCAATCATCTTTTAATTTCATGGCTGCAGTCACCATCTGCAGTGATTTTGGAGCCAAAGAAAATAAAATCTGTCACTGTTTCTGCTGTTTTCCCATCTATTTGCTATGAATTGATGGGAGCAGATGCCATGATCTTAGTTTTCTGAATGTTAAGTTTTAAGCCAACTTTTTCACTTTCCTGTTTCACTTTCATCAAGAGGCTCTTTATCTCTTCTTCGCTTTCTGCCATAAGGGTGGTATCTTCTGCATATCTGTGGTTAATGATTTAACCTCAGGTCAATGATTTAATCAGTGTAATTAATGATTACACTGATAAAACTGCAAACAAGTTAATTGACTTCAATCCTTCTCAGGGTACTGGTTTCACCTTAGCCCTCTTACAATGTATCTGCTAACATTGGAGAGTGCAGCTAGGGCATTACCTCACTGGCATTTATAACCTGTCAAGGCAAAAGAGAAAAATCAGAGTCTGCTTAGTCTGAGAAGCGAAACAGACAATGGATCCCAAAAGTCAGAGAGTGAAGCTTAATGACGGCCACTTCATTCCTGCCCTGGGATTTGGCACCGGTGCACCTTCAGAGGTAAGTGTAGTGGTTTGGGGTTGAGATATAAATAGTAAGTGGATGCAACATGAATGGAAGGAGGTTAAGATTCTTAAGCATTGAGTTTCTGGTTGACTCTGGGAGGATCATGTGGTTCCACTAACCAGGCTAGAACCATGCCCCATGAAAAGGGAGAGAGCATCCAGTCTTCAGTCTGCATCAGGGTCTGAGGCTGTGCTCACCTGCAGATTACTCTGCAGGTGTTCCCCTCCAGTTTCTATCTCTTTCCCAGCTTGGCAGAAGGGTGAGACTCAGCTGTCAAGATCACTGAATGTCAGCAGCTTGGCTTTGAGGGCAATTGCAATGGCGGTGTTTTCTGTATATTTCATTTCAGGACTCTTTCCTCCTTCCAGAAAGACATGATTAAGTGAAATAATTGAGGTGGGAGGGCCTGAAGGTGAGGTGACTTAAATCTAGTGGGAGAGGACTGTTTTTCTCCTGTGGTATACCTGCTCAGTGCCAGGCAAGACACATTCCACCTGTGTTTGGCCTTGTACTTCTGCTTCTGCTTGGAAAGTTTTTCTGATGGGAACTATACTGTCATTTGAGGGAATAAGCTACAATCTTACATGCCAGGCTTTGTACTGTATCCTTGGATTTTGTAGTGCCTTTTTATTAAAGTATAGTTTTCAGTCCTTGGGCATAAGAGGGACTAGTGGAAAAGTCTCTAGATTGGAAGCCAGAAACTTTGCTGTCCATCTTGTCTCTAGAGTATGTAGTTGTGACAACAGACTGTTCTTCAAACTTTGAATCTCATTTTTCTAATTTATAGAACAGAAGATATTTTGCAGATAGAAGATGGGGATTGTTCACTTTGCAAAATGTGATGAGCAGAGGGAAGGGTCCAGGCTAGTACTGAGCTCACTGGTTCATTCCTCAGTACACCCCACAAGGCACATGATCATAAGGAAACCAAGACTAAACCCAACAGGGAGAACTTGGACCAAGCATCTACCTCCTTGAAACATGAAAGATCCTGGATTGCAGAAACATATTGAAATATTATTCAGCTTGAAAAGGGAAGTTAATCCAACCATTTGCAACCACACCAATGAACCTGAAGAACATTAAGCTAAGTGAAATAAGCCAGAAATAGGAAGACAAATACTGCATGTTCTCTTCATAGGTAGAACCTGAAAAAGTGAACTCATAGAAGCAGAGTGTAGAGGAATGGTGAACAGAAGCTGGGGACAAGGTTAAGAAAAATGGAAAGATATTGGTCAAAGGTCCAGACTTTCTGTAATGAGATGAATGTCTGGAGACCTGATGTACAGTATGGTGACTATAGTTAATAGATATTAAGTATTCTCATGAAAACACCCCAAAAATTGGCTACGTGAGAAGATGAATCTGCTAACTAGCTTGAATGTGGTAATCATTAACAATGGATAGTTATATGAGAACATCACTTTGTACACCTGAATAGATACAGCTTTTATTTGGTGTTTTCTGTGTAGTTACACTGGTAAACAGAGGTCTTAGAAGCTTTCACCTGGTTTCTTGGTGCATTTATGATCCCCTTGTACTTTTATTGATTTTGCTTCAAACATCTCACTGTATAAATCACATCCATGACTACAATTTTATTCTGAGTCCTTTGAGTTTTTCCACCAGATCACTGAACCTAGAAGGTATTTGGGTCCTCTGATGCCTGTGATCAATCAGTGATAGCCTGGGGTTGAAGGGTTCTTGGGTGTCCATTTAATCATTGACCAGGAACATTCAGGGAAACTGTCATGGGTTCATTACCACACATGCAGAATGAATCGAATGCATGAAGAACTGTCGGTTCTTGATAAGATCAAGCTTGTGCCTTAGCAATCTCTTAATCATTTGGATATTCAATTACTATTTTTGTTGCTTATGTAGGTTCCTAAGAGTGAAGCTGTGGAGGTCACCAAATTTGCTATAGAGGCTGGGTTCCGGCATATTGACAGTGCTCATGCATACCAAAATGAAGAGCAGGTTGGCCAGGCCATTCGAAGCAAGATTGCTGATGGCACCGTGAAAAGAGAAGACATATTCTACACTTCAAAGGTGCTATGTGTGTTGTGTGTGTGCACATGTGTGCAAGTGACTGGGGCAGATGACAATTTGGTAATAGAATCAGTAGTTTGGTGAAGGTGCTTATTGGTACCACTGTTTTCACACTTATTTGTATCTTAAATCTAGTACCCTTTTTCTCTCACTGTGCCTTCCCCTCCCAAAAGAGTATAACTATAGCTTTATCATGATGGTGTGCTCAAATTTTAATTTTACATGAAAGTCACTTTATTTCTTTGAGCCCAGGCTAGAGCAGTGTAATTTATTATGGGCTAATAAATCTGGCAGACTTGGGGGCAGATTATAGCTTTTCTTATCATCTGGGTGAGTTTCTCAAATTTATTCACATTCTAAATCTCAGTTCTCATCTCCAAGAGTAAGAGAGCATTGGGAGAGACACTTTGTGTGTTATACAAGATCTAGCCAAAGTGTCTTGAATTATGTTCTGCTCATGTTAAACTGTTCAAAGCATTTTTACCTACAGTTATGTAAACAAGATAGTAATTCATTTTGAGAAGATGGATTCTTTGGTCAAATTAGACTGAGGTTCTGCTTTTATACTCTATCAAGCATTGTTCAGTTGATGGGTATGGTAATTATTGATAAAGTTATTTATATCTTTATTCATTTCATTCAATTGTGAAAGATGTACGGATGACAAATTCAATCAAATAATGAAGTTTACGTGGTAGGTTAGAAAAAGAATGGAACTTAAGAAGAAATGGAACTTTTTTCCCATGGTCATCTCTTTCCAACCAATAATAATATCTAGTTATTAAGTAAAACAAGTCAAAAAAATTACATGAAGCATTCATTTCCCACAGCTTCCTTTGTTTAATCTCTGCAGGTTTGGTCCACTTCCCTTCGTCCAGAGTTGGTCCGACCAGCATTGGAAAAGTCACTGAAAAATCTTCAGCTGGATTATGTTGATCTCTATATTATTCACCAACCAGTGGCTTTGGTGGTAGGTGATTTGTGTGATCACCTCTGTTCTATTTCTTGGGTCAGAATGTCTATAACTTCCATGGATGGTTGACACAATTTTTCTTAGTTAGGTTGAAGGAATGGTTACACTAGAGTAGAATCCCCTAAATAATCATTTGTGACCATCTTTTTGGAGAGGTTCTTTGAATCTCTTACCTGCCTCCAGAGAAACAAATTAAATAATCTAAGACTCTGTCTCAAAATCTTGAGGAAGTAGAAATAGGCGAGTTCTGCGCATGGCGCTGATTAGGCCTGGGAGTTGGGATTTCACATCCAGAGTTCAGTGCAGAGTGCTGAGCACTGACACGGCCTCACAATTGAACAGGATGAGGTCATTTCATCTCTCATCCTTTCATGTTTCATTGATTTGGAGTTGTCCTTCTGGGTGGGTCTAAACCTCACAGTCTTCTCAGGACTCAGGAGACCTGGCCTTCACTGTCGCCTATGTTCACAGTGACATTTGCAGACTGCACTTAGCCATTAAGCACTGTATTATGTGGAGGAGAATTTTCCAGTTGTTCCAGTGGTTAGGATTGTGTGTTTTCAGTGCTGAGTCAGAGTGTTTTGAGGGAGTGGGTTCAATTCCTATTCAGGGAACTAAGATATAGCAAACCCACGGCACAGCCTAAACAAAACAACAAGAACAACGTCTATTATGCAGAACTCATTTTTAGAATACAGAATTCTCAAGCCATCCTTTGCCAAAGGATATTGGACTATGTAGATGATAATTCCCATCTACATAGATTTAAGTATTCCTAATACATGACAGAAATGTCTCTGTTTTTCTATTCCTTATAATGACATCACTCTTGGTTTGCTTTATTTTTATCTCAGCATTTTCCATGGGTGGCAGAATGACCTTGATCTGTTCAAGCCTCGTTGTCCAGAATATGTGAGAGTATGTCTACATCTTCCACATAGCTTATCAACCTAAAGAGAACCTTGATGGTTCATGTGTATGCCCTGAAGCTATCAGATGTTCAGAGTGAAAAGGAATTCTGATATTTAGTCCAGGTCAAGATTGCAATTTTTATGCCAGCAGTAAGGCATAACTTATTGTCATTCCCTGCATGATAGAGGCATTTTGCAAGAGGAAAATAAAAGGGGCAAAAAAAATTCACTTAAGGCACTGACAGTTTCCAGGAGAATGTAGGAAAATTATATCTATCAAAATATATAGTATGTATGAGATTACTGGAAAACTGCCTTCTAAAGACATTGCTGATAAGGAAGCTGTGGTACATATACACCATGGAATATTACTCAGCTGTTAAAAAGAATTCATTTGAATCAGTTCTAATGAGATGGATGAAACTGGAGCCCATTATACAGAGTGAAGTAAGCCAGAAAGATAAAGACCATTATAGTATACTAACACATATATATGGAATTTAGAAAAGTGGTAATGATAACCCTATATGCAAAACAGAAAAAGAGACACAGATCTACAGAACAGACTTTTGGACTCTGTGGTAGAAGGCGAGGATGGGATGTTTCGAGAGAACAGCATCGAAACATGTATATTATCTAGGGTGAAATAGATCATCACCCCAGGTTGGATGCATGAGACAAGTGCTCGGGCCTGGTGCACTGGGAAGACCCAGAGGGACTGGGTAGAGAGGGAGGTGGGAGGGGGGAATGGGATGGGGGACACATGCAAATCCATGGCTGATTCATGTCAATGTATGACAAAAACCACTACAATATTGTAAAGTAATTAGCCTCCAACTAGTAAAAATAAATGGAAAAAAAATAAAGACATTGCTGATAACTCCATTTGCAAACCATTTTGCAAATATCACTATGCAGAAAGTAAATGAACCTCATGGAGGTTTAGCATCCTAGTCCCAGATGTGCCTGGCAGGCTGGCTAAATGTGGAGAAATATTTGGTGACATCTCTGAAATGACTGCTTCTATTCCAGCCAGGGGAGACACTTTTCCCAACAGATGAAAATGGAAGACCGATGTTTGACTCAGTGGATCTCTGTCGCACGTGGGAGGTGAGTCCAGGGAGGAGAGAAGCAGGGGAGGGGGAACCTCTTTCATTTCTTCCATCTGTGAGAATGGGCTGTGGACCATCAGACTCAGCAGTTCATGAATATAAGGGCTGGGATGCTGGGGTTGTGGGGAGGGAACCATTGCTGAAATGTTCACAGAGAGGAATGAAATGGAGAACTTGGGACAGTGTAGACAGGCATCTCTTTCCTTCCGTGTGATTGTCTTCTCCAGGGTTTTCTAAGGAGGAGATGTTGCTTCTTCTTGTGTCATGACCTTCTTCCCCTTTATCTTCTTGATAAGCAGTGCTAGTTCTTGACCAGAGATGCTCTTAACGATTTTTCAGCATTTCTTATTGCTATATTGCCCATTCCAAGTGACTGCTCACCACCCCTCCCTCCTAGGCCCTGGAGAAGTGTAAGGACGCAGGGCTGACCAAGTCCATTGGGGTGTCCAACTTCAACCACAAGCAGCTGGAGAAGATCCTGAACAAGCCGGGGCTCAAGTACAAGCCCGTCTGCAACCAGGTGAGCAGCTCAGCTCCTCTCCCTCCTGCTCTCAGAACCTCCTTCTTGCACTGGAACCTGATGTCTGTCTGTCCTTTCCACCTGTTCATCCAACCTTTGTGGACAGAGGATCCTACACAGCTGAGCCTGTGTCTGGACTGTATGAATAGAATCTATAACAGTATCTTTGATAAACTCTGGGTGGAAAAGGTGGGGATGGCTTCCTGCTCAATAGTGGTGGAGACTGAGGGAAGACAACGGAGGTGAAATTCCTCCAGAACTTAGAGGAAGGAGGCATTTCCCTGAGCTGAAAGCATGACCAGAAATCAGGTGTGAAAGTTCTTGGATGAAACTGTGTACAGGAAGGAAGACCATGAAAACATGGAATGGGAAGTAAATACAGAGAAAGACCAAGTGAGACAGGTGTTAATGGTTTGTGTGGGGTTTAGATGCCTGAATCCTTAGTCTTGTTGTCCCAGCTTCAACAGGGAGCACTGTATAGAGAAATGTGCTGGAGACTATGAAAGTCACCTAGGTTAGAGCATGAAGTTAAATGCTTATGTTGATCCTAACAGTTGATGGAAGAGTTACTCAGGATTTCAGATCAGTTTAGTTCAGCAGCTTAGTCATGTTTGACTTTTTGCAACCCCATGGACTGCAGCACACCAGGCCTCCCTGTCCATCACCAGCTCCCAGAGCTTACTCAGACTCAAGTCCATCGAGTCACTGATACCAGCCAACAATCTCATCCTCTATTGTCTCCTTATCCTCCTGCTTTCAATCTCTACCAGCATCAGGGTCTTTTCCAATGATTCAGTTCTTTGCATCAGGTGGCCAAAATATTGGAGTGTCAGCCTCAGCGTCAATCCTTCCAAAAATTATTCAGGTTCCTTTAAGATTGACTGGATCTCTTTGCAGCCCAAGGAACTCTCAAGAGAGTTCCCCAACACCACAGTTCAAAAGCATCAATTCTTTGGCACTCTGCTTTCTTTATGGTCCAACTCTCACATCCATACATGACTACTGGAAAAAGCATAGCTTTGACTAGACGGTCCTTTGTCAACAAAGTAACGTGTCTGTTTTTTAATATGCTTTCTAGATTGGTCATAGTTTTTCTCCCAAGGAGCAATCATCTTTTAATTTCATGGCTGCAGTCACCATCTGCAGTGATTTTGGAGCCCTCATAAATAAAGTCTCTCACTGTTTCCATTGTTTCCCTTCTATTTGTCATGAAGTGATGGAACCGGATGCCATCATCTTCATTTTATGACTGTAGAATTTTTAAGCCAAATTTTTCACTCTGTTTCACTTTCATCAAGAGGCTCTTAGTTCATCTTCACTTTCTGCCATAAGAGTTGTGTCATCTGCATTTTTGAGGCTATTGATATTTCTCCCAACAATCTTGATTCCAGCATGTGCTTCATCCATCCAGGCATTTCACAGTTCTCTGATGTACTTTGCATATAAGTTAAATAAGCAAGGTGAAAACATACAGCTTTGACTTATTCCTTTCCCATTTGGAACTTGTCTGTTGTTCCATGCTTCCCTGGTGGGTCAGATGGTAAAGCATCTGCCTGCAATGTGGGAGACCCGGGTTTGATTCCTGGGTCGGGAAGATCCCCTGGAGAAGGAAATGGTAACCCAATCCAGTACCATTGCCTGGAAAAACCCATGGACAGAGAAGCCTGGTAGGCCACAGTCCATGGGGTCACAAAGAGTTGGACATGACTGAGCAGATTCACTTTCCTTTCCTGTTGTTCCATATCTGTTTCTAACTGTTGCTTCTTGATCTGCATACAGATTTCTCAGGAGGCAGTTAAGGTGGTCTCATATTCCCATTTCTTGAAGAATTTTCCAGTTTGTTGTGATCCACACAGTCAAAGGCTTTGGCATAGTTAATAACGCAGAAGTAGATGTTTTTCTGGAACTCTCTTGCTTTTTCAATGATCCAGCAGATGTTGCCAATTTGATTTCTGGTTCCTCTGACTTTTCTAAACCCAGCTTGAATATCTGGAAGTTCATGGTTCACATCCTGCTGAAGCCTGGCTTGGAGAATTTTGAGCATTACTTTTCTAGTGTGTGAGATGAGTGCAATTGTGTGGTAGTTTGAGCATTCTTTGGCATTACCTTTCTCTGGGGCTGGAATGAAAACTGACCTTTTCCAGTCTTGTGGTCAATGCTGAGTTTTCCCAGTTTGCTGGCATATTGAGTGTAGCACTTTCACAGCATCATCTTTTAGGACTTGAAATAGCTCAACTGGAATTCCATCACTTCCACTAGCTTTGTTCCTAGTGATGCTTTGTAAGGCCCATTTGACTTCCAATTCCAGGATGTCTGGCTCTAGGTGAGTGATCACAGCATCATGATTATCTGGGTTGTGAAGATCTTTTTGGTATAATACTTCTGTGTATCCTTGCCACCTCTTCTTAATATCTCTGCTTCTGTTAGGTCCATACAATTTCTGTCTTTATTGAGGGCTATCTTTGCATGAAATGTTCCCTTGGTGTCTCTAATTTTCTTGAAGATATCTCTAGTCTTTCCCATTCTATGGTTTTCCTATATTTTTTTTCACTGATCACTGAGGGAGGCTTTCTTATCTCTCCTGCTGTTCTTTGGAACTCTGCATTCAAATGGGTATATCTTTCCTTTTCTCCTTTGCTTTTTGCTTCTTTTGTTTTCACAGCTATTTGTAAGGCCTCCTCAGACAACCATTTTGCCTTTTTGTATTTATTTTCCATGGGGATGATCTTGCTCCCTGTCTCCTGTACAATGTCAGGAACCTCTGTCCATAGTTCTTCAGGCACTCTATCAGATCTAATCCCTTCAATCTATATCTCACTTCCACTGTATAATTGTAAGGGATTTGATCCAGGTAATACCTAAATGGTCTAGTGGTTTTCCCTACTTTTTTCAATTTAAGTCTGAATTTGACAATAAGGAGTTCATGATCTGAGCCATAGTCAGCCCCCAGTCTTGTTTTTCCTGACTGTATAGAACTTCTCCACCTTTGGCTGCAAAGAATATAATCTATCTGATTTTTGTATTGCTCATCTGGTGACGTCCATGTGTAGAGTCTTCCCTTGTGTTGTTGGAAGAGGGTGTTTGCTATGACCATTGTGTTCTCTTGGCAAAACTCTGTTAGCCTTTGCCCTGATTCATTTTGTACTCCAAAGCGAAAGTTGCCTGTTACTCCAGGTGTCTCTTGACTTCCTACTTTTGCATTCCAGTTCCCTATAATGAGAAGGACATTTTTTTTTTTAATGTTAGTTCTAAAAGGTCTTGTAGGTCTTCATAAAACCATTCAACTTCAGCTTCTTCAGCATTACTGGTCAGGGCATAGACTTGGATTACTGTGATATTGAATGGTTTTCCTTGCAAACAAACAGAGATCATTCTGTTGTTTTTGAAGTTGCATCCAAGTACTGCATTTCGAACTCTTATGGTGATTGTGATGGCTTCTCCATTTCTTCTAAGGGATTCTTGCCCACAGTAGTAGATATAATTAATGCTCATCTGAGTTAAATTCACCCATTCCACTCCATTTTAGTTCGTTGATTCCTAAAATGTCAATGTTCACTATTGCCATCTCCTGTTTGACCACTTCCAATGTGCCTTGATTCATGGACCTAACATTCCAGGTTCCTATGCAATATCATTCTTTACAGCAGTGGACTTTGCTTCCATCTCCACTCACATCGACACCTGGCTGTTGTTTTAGCTTTGACTCTGAATTTTCATTTTTCTGGAGTTATTTCTCCACTGATCTCCAGTAGCATATTGGGCACCTATTGACCTGGGGAGTTCATCTTTCAGTGTCCTATCTTTTTGCCTTTTCATGGGGTTCTCAAGGCAAGAATACTGAAGTGGTTTGCCATTCCCTTCTCCAGTGGATCACGTTTGTCAGAACTCTCTACCACGACCTGTTCATCTTGGGTGGTCCTACATGGCATGGCTCATAGTTCATTGAGTTAGACAATGCTATGGTCCATGTGCTCAGTTTGGTTAGTTTTCTGTTATTGTGGTTTTCATCTGTCTGTCCTCTGATGGATAAGGATAAGAGGCTTATGGAAACTTCCTGATGGGAGAGACTGACTGAGCAGTATTGCAGGCCACTGTTGACCCATACCTCTGCAGGAGAGACTCAAACACAGCTCTGGCTCAGTCTCTGTGGGGTCTCTGTGTCCTGGTGCACACAAGGTTTGTTTGAGCCCCCCGAGGTCTCTGGAGGGTACGAGGTTTGATTCTAAACATGATTTTGCCCCTCCTACTTTCTTGCTGGGGCTTCTCTTTGCCCTTGGATGTGGGGTATCTCTTTTTGGTGGGATCCAACATTCTCCTATTGATAGTTGTTCAGCAGTGAGTTGTAATTTTGGCATTCTCACAGGAGAAGATGAGCACACGTACTTCTACTTTGCCATCTTAAAGACTCATAGACTCATCATCCCCTGAGGCAACATTTTTCATTGGTACTGTTTCATGGGGGCTTGTTGGTTAATATTGGGTACCAAAAATGCAAATTTTTCTTTGTCTTGTGGGGCTAAGGGTATTGTATAAGAACAATCTTTAAGATTCAGAACTATAATTGGTCAATTCTCACATAAGGCTGAAGGGGATGGGAGTCCAGGCTGCAAGGTCCACATGGGTTTCATTACTGCATTAAAAGCTCAAAGCTCATGAAGCAGCCTCCATTTGCCTGATTTTTTATAGACTATGAAAACTGGAGTATTCCAAGGACTAGCATTCTCCTCTATGTGTCCTGCTTGAAACTGTTCTTCTACCAAGGCTTGTAGATGTATAAGTTTCTCTCTTACTAGAGGCCATTGATCCACTCAAACAGGTTTAGATGTAAATTATGTTAGAGGTGTGGTGTGGGGTGGCAGAGAAACTTTAATGGCCCTCAATTAGCCCTTTTCTGTCCAGTTTCAGGTGAATAGGTAAAGGAGAAGGATCTCCCTATAAATTCTTTCCTAACTCTTTTCCTGGTTGGCATCCCATTGTTGCCATCACATGATCTGCCTTTTCCTCATTGGAGAGAACTATGTGCCAATGGGCAAACAGATCTCTGTCCCAAAAATTACAGGGAATGTCTGCAATAAAAGGTTGGAAGTGAGCAAGTTGTTTGTTGGGCCCTAGGAAGGAAGAACTGTTGCACTTTGAGCAAATTGTTGAGGTTCCCCCAAGCCTGATTATCTTTTCCTGGGGTTCAGTCAAGGGCCAATCAGCTGGCCATTGAGGAGAAGTAATGATGGAAATGTCAGCCCCAGGATCTAAGAGTTCAGAGAACATTTTTCCTTGGATTTTAGCCTTACATGTGGGCCAATCTGAGAGTATTTGTAGAATAAAGCACACTAATTGGTCACCTGTGCTCCCAAATCCTTGTTCTCCTCTGGTGACAGGATTATAGTTGTTAGTTGCGTGGTAAGGCAAGAGAAGGAGTTGACCAATTTGTTGAGCTTGAGGAATGACATGGAATCAATGAGAGAGAGCCATTACTTTAATTTCTCCTGAATAGTCTGGGTCAATAAGGCCAGGAAGAATTTGGAGGCCCTTAAGGGTAAGGCCACTTCTGCCCAGAATGAGTTTTATGGTCCCTGAGGAAAGGGGCCTTGGATCCCAGTAGGGATTGCTACTGGGTGGTGGTTGGTGAGGAGGGGATCAAATTCATTCATTCAAACAGTTATTGGGTTGGGAGGTCCAATCCAGCACTTCCACTGGTAGAGACTGAGCGGCTGGAGATAGGCTGAAGGGTGTGCTGGAGGTCCTCACAGTGTATGCCCCCACTGTTTGTGGGGCCCGGGGCTGACCCTGATGGCAGTTTCCGGGCTTCAAAGGGGAACCATTCTTATACAATTTTGATCTGCATTGATTAGCCCAATGATTGCCTTTTTGGTGCCTAGGACACAGTCCTGGTGTTTTATTTTCACCAGTAGGTGGAGGTATTGTAACATCTGTTTTGGGCCCAGAACAGCAAGCCTTTTTCATATGTCCGGGTTTTCCACATTGAAAGCATTTGGCAGGGGAAGAGCTAAAATTATTTTTAAAGGCAGCACAAATTGCTTGGGCCAGCTAGGTTTTTTGTGAGCCTGTGTACCAACATTTTGACATGCTCGAACAAAATCGCCAAGGCTGCGATTTTGATGAATAGTGTTAAGGGCGGCCTTGGCATTTTTATAGGCTAATTGTTTTAACAAAATGTCCCCCGCTGTAGGACTATTAATTTGACAGTGGACAGCAGATGAGAGCCGGTCTAAAAATTCAGTGAAGTCTTTTCTGGGTCTCTGTAATATTTTAACAAATGAACTGGTAGGCTCGCTGGGTTCTCATACTGTCTGCTCTTGCTTCAGCAGCATTTTGCAATCTGTACATATGCTCCCACCAGTATACGTTCATAAGTCAATTGGGCTGTTGGACTGGTATATTGCCCTGTGTCTATGAGCATTTAAAAAGTAAGATTACCTCCACTGGCCAAATTAATACAGGCTAGCTCTTGGCACAACTCAGCATAAGAAGCAAAAATCTGTAAATTTGGGGGACCACATAAAGCTGTTTTGGCTAGCATTTTAACATCGTAAGGAGAGCATCTCCCATGCAAGCAAATTTCTAACAGCTTCCATGTATGTATACAGAGAATTGACCCTGTTCAGTCTAACACTAGATTTAGTTCCTTTAAAACCTGATGTCAAAAGTTTCATGGGTTGCAATAACCTGACTGGGATTACTGGGGTTGGGCCTGTAATTGATAAGGAAAGCAAGGTGGTCCTCAATGTCTAAAGCACTCATAGGAAGGGCAGAGGCCATGGCCTGCTAAAAACCAGGCCAGTGGCTTATCCTCCAGAGACATTTCTGGACACAGTGGAGGCGACGGTGGTGGAAAATTGTCCTTGAGCTTGGGTGGCAAAGAGGTGGAAGGGTTAACAGTACGTTTGAGGACACTGTCTTCTCACATTATTTCTCAGTCTGTCGAGGGTATAGGACTGATTGCACTAGCCCCCAGGTGGCAAACAGAGTCATGGATATGTGATCCCCTCTCCTGTGTGCTGTTTTCAAATTTTCTCCCACTGGATCCCAATTTTCATTATCTAGAGTGCCTTCTTCCAGAAACCAAAGATGATGTTTAACCACCTCTCTTAGCAATTGTGTCAATGGCTCCTCTTTCACCTGTGCTCCTGCAGTCTGGAGGAGGTGCCTCAAAAGTTGGAGATGATGTTTCTCAGCTTTACTCAAATCCTTCCCCATTGACACCCTGACTCGGGCAACAAGGGACTTCCCACCCTTAGAGTTTGAGGGCCTGGTCATGATCCAGATGTCTCACCTACAGCTCACTGTCTTCACTTTGAATATTTTCCTTGGGGAGAATCCCTCCTGACTTCAGGTCCCTATTCAGGGGCCACCTGCCATGTTCAGCACAGAGGGTGAGAAAGACCTGAACCAGGGGTGAGTGTGTAATGAAAAGACAGACACATCTAATTTGCAAGCGGGGGGTCAGGGGGCCCTCCTGCTCTCCATGGCAGGAAGACAAGCCCGCACTTTTATGGGCAGAAGTCATGAGATCACTAGGAAATAGCTATACTGGAGAGTTTGATCAGCGTACCATAAAGAGGGAGTAAAGTTGAGGTTCTGCTGTTGTCAGGAACATTTGTTTTGTTTCCACGGGGATGGACGCAAGGGCCGGCAGTGAAGCGGAGCAGAGAGCATGCCCAGCCCCAAGTCTGTCCATTCAGCATGCTTACTAGCACAATCATGAGGGAACAGTTTGCTGCACCCTCGAGCCATAGGGCAGGTTCTGGTCTCTGCTCTGCCAGGCTGCAACAATATTTTGCTGACTTGGGTCTGATTGTGGTTCACATGTAATTTTCAGTCATCTTAATCTCTTTTAATGTAAAAAGGTCACTCAGTCATTGTGTTACCAAGATATCCAGGCAAGGTTTTGACAAATACACTGCATTTATCATTGTTATTTTGTGATGCTAATTAACTTGTTTCTGTAATCCTAGATTATGTAAATTAGTAGTTAAACCTGAACTCCTTGCTACATTAAATATTTTGACAAGAAAATATTAGTTGCATGCTTTGTCCCTAAATGAACCTGGGTAAGAAGTGCATGGTGACAAGTTGTCCACTGTGAGTGACAGTACTTTTGTTTTCTGGTAAAGCTATTAGTAGCTGGACATTTTATTTGGAAATGTGTATTTTCCCTCTGAAATTATCTAGTCATCTGTTGGATGATAACCATCATCAGGGGAAGTTTGATTTCCCCCAAGTTTTCACATAATGGTTGAGAAGCCATTGAGGACTTTCAACTGAACTAATTATTTCATTGGAACATTTTTCATTATTTTCCATTTAAACACTCTCTTTAATCTTCTGACATTTTATTGTAAAAGTAAAATTCCCTCATTATTCAGGATAAAATACATCTATTCCTATAAGATAGGGTAAAACACTGCACTCCTTCACATTAACTGTCAGTTTTTGAGAAAAGCTTTATTGTAATAATCACCATCTGTGAAGAGAAGCGTTTTTGTTCTTTCTTTCTCTTTCAGGGATTTTTATTGCCTCTGTGTGCTACATTTGCTTTCACTCATGATTCCCATTGGTGCTCAAATCTACTGAAATGTCATCGATGGGAATTCATCAAACTGGTTCTTTTGTCCTTCAGACATTTCTTCATAAGACTGTGCAATTTCTTTCTTTCTGGCATAGTTTGATGTCCAAAGCTTAGACAGCTCTTTTCCTGTCCCAGGTCTGGAATTAGGCATGTGTCTTGATCTGTTCAGTGGTGTTCAGCAACCAAGATCTGGTCCATAGAATTACTTGTTCTCAGTAATGTCATTATTTTTTACCTTTTCAGCGGACAGAAATATAATTTTAAAAAAATCTTTCTTTGATATTTCCAGTTGTAATTTGATGTGACACAGTTTTTCTTTAGCATATATAATTCTTACTTTTAGGCTTTTTCTGGTGTATTATCTTTTCATATAATCTGACACTCTTTTCTGTTGGCATTCTACAGGTAGAATGTCACCCTTATCTCAACCAGAGCAAACTACTGGAGTTCTGCAAGTCACACGATATTGTCCTAGTTGCCTATGGTGCTCTGGGAGCCCAACGAACTTTACAATGGTAATGAACATTATTGATGGCCACAAGGAGTTTATCTAAAACTCATTTTTTGATGAAAATTTTATTGTTCCGGACTCAGTACTTTGGAGATAACTCTCAAAGGGTAGAGAAGAGAGAAGGCAGATGGGAGAAATCCTCTTGTCTTTTCATCACCCAGGTAGATTTCTTACATTACATGTGTCTTGTATATAGATTTTAACACAAGTGTCTGCATTAAAATCTCTATATAATACCCCAGTTGATAACTAAGACATAAGTTTGTCTTATAATAATTTACTTATTTATGGACTAATGAGCACATTACTATAATAGACTTACCGAGCCGCCCTCACCTTGTGTCTAAAATCAGGATAATAATACATAATTTCCAAGTTTATCATGATTGAAAAATAAGTACAAGTTGAACCACTTTTGTAAACATTTGTAGAAGAATTGCACAATGTAAATAATTATGAAATGCACGGTCTTCATTTTCAGACTACTCAACTTTTATCAACACCTGAGACAAGTGAAAATTAGAAAAAAATGAAAAACAAAATATTTCCCAATCTTTCCCATCACATTCTCCTTTCATACTATTGTCTTTACTTTTGAGCATTGATTGGAAAAGAAAAATAACCACAGAGAAGTAAAAAAGAAACAAAATCCATGACTTTGGCAGTCCTCGTTTTAACTCAATTTTGCATCTGAATCACTTGCAGAGATCTGTAAACACAGGATGGAAGGTGACACATTTGAGGTTCTGTATCAGTTGTCTTCAGTGAAGCCATGGAATTTTGTGTTTCTAACAAGATTCCAGGTGGTACTGATAATGCTAGTTCATGGACCACACTTTGAGAAGCACAGGTCTAGAGCTGACATACCTGATCTGTTTGGGAAGCCTCTTCATAAACTGAGTACTTAGTCTTAGCTTCTCAGCATTTCTGAATTTCCTTCCAGGGTGAACCCGAACCTCCCCTTTCTCTTGGAGGACCCAGTTCTCTCTGCCATTGCCAAAAAGCACAAGCAAACTCCAGCTCTGGTTGCCCTTCGCTACCAGATACAGCGTGGGGTTGTGGTTCTGGCCAAGAGTTACAACAAGAAGCGCATCAAAGAGAACATACAGGTGATGAGTGGGGCTGTGGGCAGAGGGCTTCTAAGGAATATCCTTCACGAGGGGCATTCTTTGTCTAACTGAGGACAGACATGGCTTCCCTATCCCCTCTGTTGTCCCCATTCAGCTGGAAAGTCCTCCAGTCCCCAGGGGGAGGCCAGCTCCTTGGGGAAAAGATTAATGTGATTCTTCCTTCTTTTCAGGTGTTTGACTTTGAACTGACTCTGGAAGACATGAAAGCAATTGATGGCCTCAACAGCAATATAAGATACTATGATTTTCAACAGTAAGTGACTTGTATATGTTCCACAAATACTGTTTTCTCTAGCATGTAGATCAGCAGAGGAATAAGCTTTCTTAAAGCTTAATTTTAGGGAGACAGCCCTGGTTTCCAGTGTAGGAGTAAACCAAGGGCTTCCTGCAGACCTCATACTGGAGGTTTCCTCTAGGGTTCTGTCTCTGATCAACAGAAATGTGACTGGGGCCCAGGACAGCCAATCAGTAAAATCCCCAGTGTTGACATTGTGGTGAATTCACTATATTGTGCCCCGAATCCCTGTGCCTGGTGTCCCTCCTCTCAGGGACACCCAGAAACCCAGGAAACACAGAAAGAACAGTGCCTGCAGCCCGTTCTTCTTTCAGAAAGTGAAAGTGTTAGTTGCTCAGTCTTGTCTGACTCTTTGGACCCCATCAACTGTAGCCCCCCAGGCACCTTCTTTCAGGGACTGATGCAAATGCTTCACCTTTAGTTCTTTACAGAATCAGGAGGAAATGATACACAATGACTGTGTAATAAGGAATCCATCCTGAATTATATTTCTGCTTATCCTAACACAATTGTAAATGCATTGTTGATATTTCTGAAGGAGGGGCCCATGAAGGCCAACATGCTTCAGTGTGAGAAGTCACAGTGAGCCTGGTGTCACTCTCTCTCCTGAGTGTCTGGTGGATTTTCTCCCTGATGGACTTTTCTTTACCAAGACACCATCTATTTCTTCCAAATTTATCTCTTTATTGACTTTTCCCCATCACATCTCCCATTTCCTCATCCTTAAAATGTCACCAGATGAATTTTGAGTATATCATGAACTGAGCCTCCAGAGACAGACTTCTGTCCTTACATACCTGGTAAGATTGTCTGGGTCTCTCTGGTTTCTCGAGTCAAGACTCACCCTAGTGTAGACTTTGTCCATCAGGGGTCCATCCACTGGGGAGCTCCTACCTCCTTGACTTAGTTAGTACCATGGAATTTCAGCTGCCTAATTACTGCAGGAGGATGTCAGGACTGAAGAGATAGAAGACTAATCAAACAGAGAGATGTTGGGAGGGAGTTTAGAGAAAAGGGAACACAAATTAGTGATAAAATGAAGATTTAATTTCAAATGAAAGATCTCAAAACTCTCCTTGTTTGTAGTGTTCAGTCGCTTCAGTTCTGTCTGACTCTTTGCAACCCTGTGGACTAAAGACCACCAGGCTCCTCTGCCCATGGGATTCTCCAGGCGAGAATACTGGAGTGGGATGCAATGCCCTTCCTGAGGGGATGGTCCCAACCTGGGTACTGAATCCGTGTCTCCTGTGTCTCCTGCATTTCAGGCAGATTCTTTACCCACTGAGACACTGGGACACCTCCTTGTTTGTAAAGAAGATATATATATATTTATATTTATATTTACATATGGGCTTCCTATTTGGCACTAATGATGACAAACTCATCTGCCAATGCAGGAGACCTAAGAGGTGCAGCTTGGATCTCTGGGTTGCAAAGATCCTCTGGAGAAGGAAATGGCAACCCACTCCAGTATTTGCCTAGAGAATCCCATGGACAGAGGAACCTGGTGGGCTACAGGCCATGGAGTTGCAAAGAGTCAGACACGGCTGAAGCGACTTAGCACACAGCACACATGCACATATATATGGGCTTCCTAGGGGGCGGTAGTGGTAAAAAACCACCTGCCAATGCAGGAGGCATAAGAGATACAGGTTTGATCCCTGGGTGGGAAGATCCTCGGGAGGAATGTAGACAACTCACTCCAGTATTCTTGCCTGGAGAATCTCATGGACAGAGAAGCCTGGTGGGCTATAGTCCATAGGGTCACTAAGAATTGGGCACAACTGAACGACTTAGCATGCATGCATACTTATGTATATGTATATTATGATTCTGAAAAAAGACATGATGATAAATGAGAAAAGATAGCAAGTTACTTTTCTGTCCTCGAAAGCTTTATGTATATTCTGTGCTCTCCCTCATTAAGCTGTGAATGCCTAGACTTACTTATCCTTGTAGGTTTATGTCGATAGCACAGCTCCTGGCACATGGAATGGCTCAGGATGCATTCTTTAATGAATTGAGTTGAAAGAACAAATTTAGAAAAAAAAATCAAACTATAAGGAAGGAAAACAGCAGTAATGTTAATTAATAAATAATGAGTGTAGTCATATAACACAAATTAAGAAAGCAGTAATCACATTTTATAGGTATAATTGTTTAGGGGTATGTGGTATTTCTTCAATTTACTCTGTATTTGAGGGGTGCTCAATAATTCTTTTCTGTTGAATGGATTTATGAAAAATAGCAAAGAATTCCTTAACTATGATACTTCTCACCACTTAGGATCAAAAGTTCCACCTGTGTCTGAAATGACCTCCACAGTTACCCCTAGGTCTGTGCCCTCTTATAAATTGTAACCTGAGTCAAACTACCTGTCACTGTGGGGTGAATATTACACTTGAATCCTGGGATTGGACATGCAGGTGCCTTGTGTACATGGAGAAGACACCTGATGTGTGCTTGTTGGGGGAGAAGATGGGATGTGTTTATAGATTTAGAGTTTTAGGCCATCCTGACCACACCCACAGAGTAATGGTCTCTATGACAACATGACAGATTTAATAAATTATTCCTCCTCTTTCTCTTTCAGGGCGGTTGATCACCCTGAGTATCCATATTCTGAAGAATATTGACTGTGAGCTGTCCACCATGCATTCTACCAGAACTTCTTTTCTAGGGTTGTGAAGAGCATTTCTGTACTTGGTGGAGATCTTTAAAAAGGTGTATGAACGTTTGAAGCTTGTTTATCATTAAAAAAATTTTATGAAATGAAGACTCCAAATATGAATTCTATTTTTTCATGATAACAAAATAATTTGGAAAATAAAAGAGAAAGGACAGAAAATAAATATAACATCCAGTTAATTTATTTAATAACTCTTGTGCCTTTTCCTTTGTCAAAAATGAATTATTCGATCCAAGAGAGAAATGGAAAATTTTATTCGAGTCAGATTTGAGAACTATAACCCAGGTAGAGCATCTCAGAAAGCCTGAGAACTGTTCTGTTCTCTAGAAATCAAGGCACAGGGATTTAAGTTTTGGAGACAGAGGGCTCTGCATGAAAAGACATATTGTTGACAGTGTTCATAATCCATATCTAAGCATCATCATGGTGGGTCATGTGACCCCTTACAAGGTCAAGAAGGAATTTATCTTTTAAGGAATTAATTGTCTTACTGATGCTAGGAGACTGATGCTCTTCAATGTCGAACAGGTCTTCCCTCTGATTTGGGAGGTCTGGTACCATGCATCATGCAGACACACAACTCACAGTGAGGGAGAGGAGTGCATGCAAAAGTAGAGAAAAGGTTTTTGTATTTAAATTTTTCTTTCCATAAAATAAAAGTTTAATTTGATACTTTCATGACTCTCCTATATAAAAGTATTTGCATGTTTATTTACAATTTGAAATAATCTTCAATATACAGGTTTCACACTTTTTTTTTTCTACTTAGTGTAAGCATTTCTATAAGCTATCTAGTATTATCTGATGGTTTCCAGGGAGGAAGGGCTTGGGAAAGAGTTGGATGGGGAGGTTGGGGTTAGCAAATGCATACTATTGTATACAAATTGGATTAACACAAAGTCCAACTGTACAGCACAGGGGACCATATTAAATATCCTACAGCAAACCATAATGGGAAACAATATGAAAAAGAATATATATATATATATACACATATGTATGACTGAGTCACTTTGCTGTACTGCAGTAATTAACACAACATTGTAATTCAACTATATCTCAATAAAAATGAAATAAAATAGTTACAGTACTATATTTTGCTTCTTATAATGCTTCCCAGGTGACTCAGTGGTAAGGAATTCTAAAGAATGAAGGAGACTGGTTCAATCCCTGGGTCGGGGACATCCCTTGGAGAAGGAAATGGCAACCTACTCCAGTATTTTTGCCTGGGAAATCCCATGGAGAGAGGAGCCTGGTGGGCTACAGTCCATGGTCACAAGAGTTGGACAAAACTTAGCCATTGAGCATGGATGCATGTTACAAAGCAGTGCATCTTATTGATTTATTTAATTTTTTAAAACTGTTAGAAGTTCTTTATTTAAAAAATTTTTTTGAAGTTGTAATACTTCAACTACCATTGTAGTTGGTTTACTAAGGTCTGTTAATTTCTGCTGTACAGAAAAATGATTCAGATATGTCTGGAAATGGCAACCCACTTCAGTATTCTTGCTGGGAGAATCCCATGGACAGAGAAGCCTGGAAGGCTACAGTCCAAAGGGTCACAAAGAGTCGAATACGACTTAAGCACCTTCATGCCTTTTTATGCTAAACATTTTGATTAGTTCTCATATGTTTTATCATTCCTTCCTTAATTTATTCAGCAAAAGTTTATTGAACACTTTTATCAATAAATAAAATAGAGAAGAATAAATTAAAATAAATTCTTGAATTGATAGTTTAGTGGAGGGTGACACTGTAAATGAAATTAGAATTTAGCTATTAGAAATGGGTAAGTGCCAGTAGGAGATATTTCTACAAAATCTCTCCCATTTCTGTACATCTGATTAGGTGGAGGCACCAACTACCCTTCATCCTACACAAGCATTTGTTTGTATAACAAACACCCTTGCAACACAGAGACAGTGGCTCCTTGCAGAGACATGGAGGGCATGTTTGCTGTGGAGTAATGTAAAGAAAACATCTCTCTCCTGAGAAAGAGAGGGATCCTGAGTGCCTATGGCCATTGATCCAGGATCACTTGACTCGAGTTTTCTCTTGTTACTCCACCCCCTGAATATTCGTGGGTTGATATGAGTTCGAATCTTATCAATTAAGAAAATGTTTCTATAGTTTGGGGCTGTAGAGGGTGGATAAGTGTGCTTTGCTTAATAGGTGCAGGCTTTGTGTCTTTGACTTTGGAACCCAACAAGTGTTGCAAAATCAGCTTTCTATTAGTTTGCCCATAGCTGAGTCTGTGTATATGTGACGGTAAATCTGGTGTTTGCTGGTTGATGAATAACGAATGAGCTGTCTCACTGGGATCCCGCTAGAGGGGTTGTATACCTTAGACGTGCTGTGTATCCAAAAGGTTAGGGTTCTTCCCCAAAAGGGAGACCTAAAGATGTTTTAGTGATGAGGAACACAGTCTTGATTGGAAGCAAAAGTTTGGGACGAGTTGAAGAAGAAGCATTGGCATATACACACTGTCTATTACACATGTGTAAAACAGATAGATAAGGGAAGCTGCTATATAACACAGGGAGCTCAGCTCTGTGCTCTGTGATGACCTAGAGCGGCGGGTGGGGGAGAGGGTGGGAGGGAGGCTCAAGGGGGAGGGGGAATATGTATAATTATGGCTGATTCTCAATGTTTTACAGCAGAAACCAACACAACACTGTAAAGCAATTATCCTCCAATTAAAACAAAACAAAATTCAAAAAACAAAAGTTTATTATCAAATAATAAGATAAATAACACTGAATTTCTATATATTTGAGCAAATAGCCCTTGATAGCTTTTACTGTGATTGCCAAAATTCACATGAAACCTTTCAGATTACTGTCTGAGTGAGACTCTCTGTGATCTGGAGAATAAGAAAAGGGTCTTCTGATATGGGGTCTTTTCTCCCAGCATGGTTCCAACTGTCCTCCATCCTCACACTCATATAGGCAATTATGTAAAACCTTTTTGCTTGTTTCTTTTTTTTTTTTTTTCATTTATTTTTATTAGTTGGAGGCTAATTACTTTACATCATTGCAGTGGTTTTTGTCATACATTGACATGAATCAGCCATGGATTTACATGTATTCCCCATCCCGATCCCCCCTCCCACCTCCCTCTCTACCCAATCCCTCTGAGTCTTCCCAGTGCCCCAGGCCCGAGCACTTGTCTCATGCATCCAACCTGGGCTGGTGATCTGTTTCACCCTAGATAATATACATGTTTCGATGTTGTTCTCTCAAAACATCCCACCCATGCCTTCTCCCACAGAGTCCAAAATTTTGTTCTGTAGATCTGTGTCTCTTTTTCTGTTTTGCATATAGGGTTATCATTACCATCTTTCTAAATTCCATATATATGCATTAGTATGCGGTAATGTTCTTTATCTTTCTGGCTTACTTCACTCTGTATAATAGGCTCCAGTTTCATCCATCTCATTAGAACTGATTCAAATGAATTCTTTTTAATGGCTGAGTAATATTCCATGGTGTATATGTACCACAGCTTCCTTATCCATTCATCTGCTGATGGGCATCTAGGTTGCTTCCATGTCCTGGCTATTATAAACAGTGCTGTGATGAACATTGGGGTGCACGTGTCTCTTTCAGATCTGTTTTCCTCAGTGTGTATGCCCAGAAGTGGGATTGCTGGGTCATATGGCAGTTCTATTTCCAGTTTTTTAAGGAATCTTCACACTGTTTTCCATAGCGGCTGTACTAGTTTGCATTCCCACCAACAGTGTAAGAGGGTTCCCTTTTCTCCACACCCTCTCCAGCATTTATTGCTTGTAGACTTTTGGATAGCAGCCATCCTGACTGGCTGACTGTGTAATGATACCTCATTGTGGTTTTGATTTGCATTTCTCTGATAATGAGTGATGTTGAGCATCTTTTCATGTGTTTGTTAGCCATCTGTATGTCTTATTTGGAGAAATGTCTGTTTAGTTCTTTGGCCCATTTTTTGATTGGGTCATTTATTTTTCTGGAATTGAGCTTCAGGAGTTGCTTGTATATTTTTGAGATTAGTCCTTTGTCTGCTTGTTTCTTATATCAATGTTGAGACATTGAGACCTTGAAGCAGCAGTCCTGTGTATTCCCTTTGGAGCTGGGCTGACCACCATTCAGGCAGCTGTACCTGAATGGAACACATGACTTGGGACAGTGCATGTCTCTGTGTGGCTGTTACCAAAACTCTGCCCCTGTTCACTGGTGCCAAATAGAAACACAGAGACAGAATATTGGGTGAAGTAGCAAAGAGTTGCTTTACCAGACAAAGGGAGCCACAGAAGACTAGTGCCCTCAAGACTGTGTGACTCTGCCTGGAGCAGTTAGTGAGGAGTTTCATGGTGTTTAAGGATCAGGGCAAGACCTGCTCATGCAGTCCTTGTACTAGTTGGCATCAAGGTGAAGTTTCACCACCTGCTTTCAATAGGTCTAGGGTCTACATGCTTGCTGTCACGAGTTCTCGTTTGGTGGGGGCTGCTTACAGTAAAAATAACTTAGGAATGTATGTCAGACCTTTGTCTATAAATTTCAGGGAACTGAGAGTTCTGTGATTCTGCAATGTGGCAGAATTATACTCTAAATTGTTACCAGTTCCCTAGTACTACAGCTATTCTTTGTTTCCACATCTTCACATTTCTCAGTCATTAACTCCTGAGTCAGCATTTTACTTCAAAGAACAAAGACACAGAAGCTTGTACATGGTTTCAGAGCTAGTTCCCGATGATCAGGGTCACCTGAATCAATTCAAGTCTTGATTCCTTTCCTAGAACACAGTATGTTCTTCAGCTATGTTTTCCAAGAAAGATCAATTTCAAAACAGTCCAAATAAAATCACTTCTGAGAAAAACTAAGAACTCTGCTTTCTTCTTACTCATCTAAATTTGTGAGTGGAAATCATGAACATTATGATGAAAGATGTTTCTAGTTATCACATCAAGAATAC